GGCCTTCTTGGCCACCTGGGCACACTGCTGGCTTGTGTTCAGCTGGATTCAACTAACACCCCCAGATCTTTTTTCTCTGCACAGCTTTTCAGCCCAGCTCCCAGCCCTGCTCCCAGCCCTTAGTATTGCATGGGGCAAGGCCTAAGGATTTGCTGCTAACACAGCCTGGCTGCCAGTGCAGAGTGCTCAAGGAAAGCTGACAGTGCAGTTTCTGTATTATTAGACAGATACATCACTATCTGAACAAAAGGACCAGAGTAGGACACACCAGGCCAGAAAAGCAACTCACAAAACGTGCATTTCAGAAGGGGAATTGGAATGGACAACACTAAAGCCCCACTTGCCAGCAGTTCAGTCTCCAGAATAAACGCTGCAGCACTGAAAGGAGGAGAAATCTCCAGGGGTTTCGCAAAGCTGAATGGAACACAAACACAAAAACCCAACCGACCAAACAAAATTTGCTCAACCCCTCACACGTGGCAGCCAGCAGGGCAACAGCTGTACACAAGCGTGGAAAGGAGGCGACTAAAGCCTCTCTCCAACACGTGATTGATCCCGTTAACATCATGCTAGGAACTGGGGTAAGCTTAAGGTGGAATTTCTTTGGCTTGCTCAGGGCCGTCTGTGCTGGAGCCTGCCCTGGTGCTGTTTGCTATAGGCTCTGGCTCTGTGCTAGCAGTTACCTCCTGGCTTCTGCGTGGCCCTTGCATAAATATTGGATAGCCAGAGAGTTATCTGGAGGCCAGAGGACACATGGGATTTTTCCTCTGGTACCTTTAGTCAGCATTTTGCCCTCTTTTATACATTCCAGTTGCAGGGCTCCAATTCAGGCTTGTGACTTTGTAGCTGAAAATGCAGCTGAGCTTTGACTGGCCCAGAGTCATACAGGCTGTTGAAATGCCACGTGAATGTTCAGGAATGGGTGCACAGATATTTGGGGCAGGGTAGTGTCAGGAGTTGGGGTGCTGTTGGTGTACCAGCAAGCACAATCTGCTGAAGGTTCCACAGCCTCCTGCAGGGCAGTGTGTCTCCTTTGCTATTCAGCCAGAAGCAGCCTTTCCTGGCACTATCCACAGATATGTATCTCACAGGCCAGCCAAGGCCCAACCAGGTAACATGCTGCCTCTCTACAAAGCTCTGACTGCAGTTTTGCAAGCAGAGCTGTGAAGCTGTATGCCACTAACATCATGTCCTGCAGGAGGGAAACTGAGGCACAAAGGATCCGGCAGAGCAGGTAGTGGGGACCCGCTAGAACAGCCTCGGTCCTGCCTCTCCATCTGCCAACAGAGTGTTTCTCTTTTTCCCTCTAGAGTCTGGAACGGAACCAGTGGGATCATGCTGCTTCTCAAACACTGCAGCCTGAGTTCTCACACCAAGCAGCGCCCCACACATACAGCACTAACTTAGAGATACTTTCAACCACTGGCATTGCCACAAACAGTTAGGTTGCACTGAACTGCAGGCAGCGACGTTTCATACCCAGGAGCTCCCAACTGCCCTTTGCAAGCACAAGGCTGCGCCTGAGTGTTAGCACACACGTACTCTCAGAAGCTGGGAACAGTAACATGAGGACTCCAACCCAGATTTCAGGCAGGGATCACCTAACAAAAAGCAGCCACCTCACTGCAGGCACAGAGCCATGGGATGAGAGCCAACATACACTGCTGCCTAGCAGCTAAAAGGGCTTACAGGAAGGATTTCTAGGATCATGCAGAAGCAAACAATCACTGGCTTCAAAAATCACACACATCCTGCCCACAAAGAACAATATCAATCACAATCTCCCACTGCCTACTTTAAATGGCTGGAAAAGCTCCAGCTCCCAGACAGCTGAAACTGATCCCCTTCTTGTCCCCCCCCTCGCACCCCCCCATCATGTGATGGTCCTGCCCAAGTGATTTAAGCTGCTGGAGCCGAGCGCTGAGTCACGTTGGCTGTGGAGCAGGGGCTTGGGGCATCTGCAGCATGGAGCAAGTGAGTGCCCCAGGCAAGATTTGGGGGTGGCTGCCTGTGGGTTCTGGGTCGGTGCCAGGGGGAGGAGGAGGCAAGGATTAGGCGAGAGGAAATGCTGGGCTGATACGAGGCTGTGGGAGGAACAGCTAGGGCCGACTGGCTGTGTTTCTTTTCTAGTGTGATATTTAAGTAGAGAAGCTGTTTTAATTCATGTTTTATTTTAAAGTTTTGAGATCATCTGCAGCTTACAGTTTGAATATCCTTTCTTTCTTTAATTTTTCCTTCTCGAAAAATGTATTTTGGGTCCAGGGCCATGCAAGTTTGTATAACGGCAGAAGGAAGGAGGGCTGTGTGTGCTGACCCTATGCTGGCACCATGCCTATTCTTTCGACTGTACCACAAACAGAGCCATGAAATAGTGCTGTAGTGATGAGCTGTTCAGTGGCTGTGGGGACCTGATCCCATTAGCCTCTTCCTTGCTCACGGCAGTGAGCAGGCATGAAGTCTCACACTGTTTTGGTTGAGTGACTGTCTCAAAGAGCTCTGGAGCAGCCCACAGCTACTGGCCACTGGTTGTGCAAGAAGAACCAGCCCACATAAGTAAAGTAACCAAATGCAAGTTCATTTCCCTATCTTATCTGCCATGTGGTTGGGCTCCGCACTATTGCAGCTGGGCCTGGAAACACGGGCACTGAAGCATGGTTTGGGTTAAACCGAACCGCACCAACAACATCTTCTTCTTAGTTGAAGGAGGTGGGGATTCTACTTGCTATTTTGGGGGTGTGTGGCTGGAGAAGTGAATAATCTGGCTCCAGGTGTGGCATCAATCCCTCTTCATCCCCGTAGGAGCTTCCCTAAGTGTGTGTGCTTGGCTCTGCTGGGCTGCAGTCAGAAGCAGGCTCTACTAACTCCTCTGTGCACAAAGCTCTAGGTTAAACCAGCAGATATTTTGGGTGGCCCCTGTAGTGTGGAGATCTGCCTGGAGTGGGGGGACACTGTTACAAAAGCTAACTGCTATTAATTCTGTGCTGATGGCTGCTGCTAAGTGAAAGGTGCAAGCTTCATTGTGAGGCTGTCCTTTGTAGCAGCTGGTCGATCAGCAGCTCAGTCCACCCCTGTCCTCATTGCAGTGGTTAAAACTACTTCCCCATGAGTTTGTGCTGCTCAGTGGGGTGACAGCACAGGACTGGTGACTGTGACCTGTATTCTCCGGCAAGTGGCTGAGGCAGCATGGCTGGTGCAACCCTGGCTCTAGCACTGAATGACAAAGGCCTTTGGGTCTGTGGGATCTGGTTTATGCCTCACACCAGGCAGGGCTGGCGGGCTGCCGTTGGGACGCTGAGCCCTGTGGTTTGGTCCTACAGGGATTGGTTGTTACCCAGCTGGATGTACAGCCTGGAGAATGTGTCAAGGTCAAAGGGAAGATCCCATCTGATGCCAAAGGGTGAGTGAAGAGATGGTTTGGAGGCTCCTGCCTTCTCAGGGGCTGACAGAGCTCCTACTGGGTTCAGCCTGTTGGCACTTGGTAGCTGGGCATTTCCTCACCACTGCCTTTCCATCTCCCCAGGTTTTCTGTGAATATAGGGAAGGACAGCAGCACCCTCATGCTTCATTTCAACCCTCGCTTTGACTGCCACGGGGATGTCAACACTGTTGTGTGCAACTCGAAGGAGGATGGCATGTGGGGTGAGGAGGACAGGAAGGCTGACTTCCCCTTTCAGCATGGCGACAAGGTTGAGGTGAGGTGCCAGAGGTCTGTGTAAGGCCCTGACACAATGTACTGGTGGGCTGAGGGCAACTTTTCTAATGCTACCAGGTGGAGAAGGGGCAGGTATGGAAAGGGAGCTAGGCAAGGGAAGAGACCTGCAGCTGACCAACTGCCTGGATTGGTCTGAGTCAATGCCCAACAGCTCAGCTGTATTCAGTGCCCCACTCTGGCCTTGCTCTGTAAGGTGTGCAAGTAAGAGCAATTAAAACACTGACCTGTGATTCAGATGGATCTACCTTGTCCCTTAGTTGCAGAAGCTTAGGCAGAGCAAACCAGTTTCATCCTTTCACTTCTGCACTGAGCTAGCAGGCATTGCCTTCACCACCTGTGGACATCTCAACTGCCTTGCACCCACTGTGCAGGAAGAAGGGAGCCTGCCTTGTGACCCGTGATGTGCTAGCCTTCCTTTTTGTGGTTCCTTACAGATCTGTATCTCCTTCGATGCAGCGGAGGTCAAGGTGAAGGTGCCTGAAGTGGAGTTTGAGTTTCCCAATCGGCTGGGCATGGAGAAAATTCAATATCTGGCTGTGGAGGGTGACTTTAAAGTGAAAGCTATTAAGTTCAGCTAACTGCTACAGCTTGTTTTTTTCTTTTCCCCTGCATAGTGAAATAAACCCAAACTTGCCATGGCTGCTTTCTCTGCTGTTTCCTGCTCTAATCTGCTTGCTTGTGTGTGCTATGGGGATGGGCAGTGGGAAAGGGTATGTGTCCACCTATATACTCATCTACACTGCTGCCTTGCAGCTGCTGTTGAGCTGGTCCACACAGCTGGCAAAGTATAACCTACTGTGACCTAAGCTCCTGTAGCAATAGGTTCTCCTTTAACCCTGTTTGCTGCAGTGAGTGGTCTCTGGTTGTTTGCTTCCCAGATTCTGGAGTTAGTCCCAGGCTGCTGTGACAGAAAAGCTCTAACAAGTATGTTTTAGGCATGCCTTGTGTCATCCCTGTCCAGGCAGTGCTACTCCATCCTCCTTGCTGGAGAGATACAGGGCATGGCTTGTGCTTTTGCAGAAAGCTCTGCTCTCTAAGAAAATGGTTTGACATGTTGCAGGCTGGCGCTAAAGAGCAGGCAAATTCAGTGAACTGCATGTGGTGGGGAAGAGACAGGAGTGAAGGGCAAGACCTGAGGCATCTCTGCCACTTCACAAGCTGTGGTCTTGATGCCGTCAGAGACCCTGTGATGCAGTCACTGGCTTAGTTATGTGGCAGGTAGGGATACTGGAAGTATTGGATCCTGAATGCACTAAGCACAACTAGTGAATTGTCTCTTCCTCTTGAAACCTCTTGCTCTGCTCATGCAATGCCTTGGAGTGTGCCTGCTACAGATATTCCCAAGCTGCCTGCTAGCTATGTCCAGACAGGACTTGCCATAGTGTTTGAGAACCTAATGAGAGAGAATGGATCCCTGCCCACTGAGTGTGAGAAGCCTAGGTGTGGGGCTGGCCCTGTGGCTGTCACAGCTGTGCTGGTGTGAGGTGCTGCAGTTGGCCAAATACTGCTGAAGTGGTGAAATTTGATCCCTGTTGGCTAAACTCTGACAACAGGGCTGTTATGGTCCAGGCTGTATTTGCTGTTATTTGGAACAGCTGAGTAGCCAGGCCAGCTGCCGGGGAAAGGGAGTAAGCCTCTGCAGAGTATTTGAGCCATTTGAATGCCTTTTATGGGGAGGCTGGCCTGGCTGTACTGTGGCAGCTGCCCCAGAACTGAGGAATCTGTGAGGTGGCTTGCTTTGGAGGTGGCTTTATTGATAGCCCTTTCTCTCTGTTTCCTGGAAACTCAATCATGAAGGTCAGAAGGATATGGGCCATAGCTATGTCTTGCCAGTTACCTTGTGGGCATAGATATGGTGATGCAGCTCCTCCTATTTAGCCTTCAGATCTGATGTAGCTCATGACTGTGAGGGACTGGCAGTGTGCAAATGAGCAGGATGCTTTATGGGCACTTATCTCTTCCAGGGCAGTATGTGTGTCTGGAGAACATCCACCAGAAGGCTCTGCTGCACTGACCAAGTTCAGCAAAAATTTCTACTCTGCATATGGTGGGAAGGTGTAGAAGGGGCTGCTACAACCACTGTCCTTTGTGGGAGCAGGGTACAGGTAGCACATGTCTCTCTGCACTGCAGAAGCATGGTTATGCTGTGGGACTACCTCTTCTGAACTGGACAGAAGCACAGATAATGGTACTTAGAATTTTGGTCCTGCATATACTGCATTACATAGAACCATAGAAAGGCTCACGCTTTGCCCTATCAAGTAAATCTTGAGGTTTGGTGGGCTTTCTGTTTGTTTGTTTTAAGGTTACTGATAATTTTTGGTGGGAGAGTGAGGAAAAAATGGCTTTTGTTTTGTTTCCCTTATTTCCTGTCATTTAATGTCTGAAGATTTAGTAAATCATAAGGTATTCAAACTATCAGAAGTACAAAGCCCTTAGTTCACAGAGGGATGCGGGCCTTAAAGCTGGTTCCCCTGCCTGCTGGCTACTCCAGTTAGGGGAGGTATGTGTCTGTCAGCATGGACAAGAGTAAAGGTGATCTTGCTTTTTGCCTGTTAAGTTCTCATTTCCAGGTAGGCTCAAAGTACAAATGGGAGCTGTCCCCCTCCTATACTTTCCTCAGCCTAGTTAGGCTTATGCTGCTTTCTAACTGAAGAGACCACAGGAGAAAAAGGAGGAAGAAAGTCTTTACCAGTACTTCCTTTTGTTCTCCCGCATCCCAGATCTATAAATGCTCCTGGTCCTACAAGTGATGCTGGTAAAAATGCAGAATAAACATGAAGTGTCAAGTCTAAAGTTACAAGATTTCACCTCTGTTAGAAAGACCAGGAAAACAAGTATGACATGCCGTGCTGCAGATAGAAGATACCGGTGAATGTAAAATGTCTTGTTCCTGCTAAGTAAGCCTTCCTTGAAATGCATGGCACACTTGGCTTTTCCAGTATCCTTGGGAACCTGAGCCCTGCTTGCTCTGGGGAGGAGCAGAAAAGCACAGCCGGCATGGCCTAAGAGTGTGCCTTTTTTATTTAAATCCTGCCAAGCCTGTTGCCAGTCTTTCAGTCCAGCAACACTTCCCAGGGGAACCAAGAGCCTACAGTTGTCCAGGCACTGAGATCAGGAGGTGGAGGAAAACCCTGACCCCTGCTTCTGCTGAATCCTTTAAGTTTGCTGTGTTCAAGTCAGCTTCCATTCCTGTATTTTCACCAGGAATCAAAGCTGTAGCACTTTCTTGCCTTACAGCATCATGGAGAGGGATAAAGGGACCTTGAAGACACTGGAAAACAGTTGTGAGACTGCTATATGAACACAGAATAAGTGATGTACATTATCACCTCACTTAAAACAAATGTTCAACATTCTGTGCAGGGCCTGAAAGAGTAGTGATGGGAAAGACAGACCATCAGCCAGCTTTGTCTTCTCAAAAATGACTTTCCTGAGTTGTTTGCACTAACATTGCTTGACAGAAATAGGCCACCCAACTGACTTTGTAGCTACGCAAGCATGCATATAACCCTCTCCAACACAGCCTCAAAAGACAGCTGCAGGTCACTGCACCTAGAAATGGGGAAAAGCTGAGGAAGCCAATGGGCAGTCCAGGTTGTGGTAGGGCATGAGGAGACAGTTGGGTTCTCTTTTAGCTTATGTCTTTACAGCAAAAATAGGTGGAATTTGTTTCTTTCCAACAACAGATTTATAAGAATGCAACTGGCATGTGTTCAGCAAAATGAGAAAGTGATCTCCAGTCAGTTCTTGGCCAAGTACTGGGTATACTGACAGCTATGTTTGTTCTTTAACTGCCCATCTCCTGTTTCCATGGCCCTGCTCCTGATCTTTACAAGTCAGTGAGAAATTCTACCACTCATTTACTTTTAGAAATTCAGTCTCAAACTGTAAGCTGCATTGCCTGATAACTGCTCCCCTTTCTGAGGCTGAGTACTGGAGACTTTTGTTACACAATTCCCCTTTTTTGTACCATGATGGTTGTCTAAGCATTTCTCAAGGGATATGGCAAGCACCTGGCTGCCACCTCTGTGCCAGCACACTGTGTTGACAGCCCTGGACATGGGCACGACCATGTTCCCCACACGTGAAGACCCTCCCTTGTGGAAACCAAACCCCTGCTCTCTGCTAAGCTGCAACGTATTTCCTTCCCTTCAACTCCTTCCTAGTTGTTCCACAGTGGGTGCAAGCAGACAGGTGCAGGCTGCAAAGCCTTCCTCCGTGGTGAGAAATAAAAATATGTACACACTCACATTTGTCAGCAGGCTCCAGAGCGATGTGAACGTCTCCCAGTAGCGCACTGCCTGCAGGCTGCTGGCCAGACACCCTGAGAACACCGTCCTCAGTTACCTCACGGGCGCTAGTGGTAAAAACACACCGGAGGGGTGGGCAGCAAGCCCCTCTATTGCTTTTTGAGATTTTGGCACAGCTGGGTACTGCATCCCTCCATTTTGCAGAATGATGAAGTGACAGAGTGCCTGTTAGGGCAGCTGTGCCTGGGGGCACCATGAGGCAAAATGGCGCCTTCCCGCCTTCTGCCCACAGTCAGCGCCTCACCACACTGAACTGGCCTGGGCAAGGAACGGACACCTGCAGAAAGCTGTTACTTCCTTCAAAATCTCCCACCATGCTTTTTTCTCTTAAAAAATATTGTGCTTTTAATTACTTTTTTAAACTAATGTTCTTATTTCAGCTCAACTTAATGCCTGTGCCACAGTGACTTGCATTAGAAATCCTGGGCAACCCTGACAGGAAGGCATGGTCTCCAGTTGCAAATCACAGAGAAAAAAGCTAGTGGGCTCCAGTGTACAACTTCTCTTTGGAGCATGAAGAACAATTGTGGGTTTTTTTTCCTAATGCCTAAAGAAACTCAGGCAGATGTGCTGAGAGCAGTCAGCCATTCTTCACAAATGAAGACCAACATTTTTCACAGGGACAAGGGGGAATGGTTTTAATTGAAAAGGGGACAGATATAGGTTTGATGTTAGGAGGAAATTTACTCAGAGGGCAGCGAGGCACTGCACAGCTGCCCAGAGAGGCTGTGGGTGCCCCATCCCTGGAAGCATTCAAGGCCAGGTTAGATGGGGCTCTGGGCAGCCTGAGCTGGCAGCCCTGTGCATGGCAGGTTTTCTTCAGTTTGTACTGCAGAGTGACAGCAGAGCCTGGCTGAATGGGTAGAAGGGACCATCTCCTGCTCAGAGACCACTCTGGCCACAAAAAACATCTTCAGTCACGTAACATGTTTGTTCAATAATGTATTGTTAGAAGAGCCTTGTAGTTTGTAGGTAGCATACATCACTGCATTTACATTAACTGAAGGCTGCAGAGACAAGCTACAGTCCTATAGGAATGCAGCCAACCCATAATGCCACCCACAGTCAAAATCAGTGAACATAAGGGAAGAACCAGCTCTTATGTGAATTTAACCTGGCCAAACCCAGGGATGACATCTCCAGATATGCCCCCAGTCTCCTCTTACTGATCTGAAACACAGACTCTCCAATGAAAAACTCTCACATTTTCCATTTTGCAAGCAAGTCAGTGTGCTAATCTTCAAGAATTACATGGAGTTTCTATGAAATGCTACCTGAGTTGGTTTGCTTGCTTCTTTTTCTTCACCACTCTAAACAAGCATGTCAGAGACTGAGCTATATGATGGATCAGGCCTGACATGTGGACTGTTCTAGCACTCTGTGATAGGTTTTATAATAGGCAACCATCACAAAAGATCTTGTGTGTAAACTTACAACCAACAGACCCTAGTACGTAAACACTGCTTATTAGATTTAGTCTCGAGGAAAGCATCTGACATGAATTCCTTGTGACCATCGATGGCCCAAGGGCTCTGTTAAAAAGGAAAAAAAAGCAAATTGCAATTCGGATGAGTAGATCTTCACAGGGTATTACATCACATGGAACTGCACAGCCAAGCAGACTGCAGGAGCATCACGTTGCTGAAAGCATGTGAGGACACACTAAGAGCTGCTTCAGCATCCCTCACTGCACAGACAGCATCGCAGTGCATGTCTCCATCTTTTTCCTTTTTCTCATGCCAGGCCTGGGTGCAGTGACAGCAATGAAGTCTGATTACTTTCAAAGGCCAGAAAAAATTCTGTGAGGCAACACTGATTTACACCTGCTTTTTCTTTTTTCTTCTTTTTTTCTAACAGGTTCCTCATACATTGGCTGGAAATTGAAGATAACAGTTTCAGGAACACTAACTCAGGAAAAATTATGCCCCACTCTCTTCCCTGTGACTTTTCTGATAGGTCTCAAAGGTGAAAGCCAGTTAGCACTAGGTAAACAGGAATTTTCCCCCATAAGTGAGATTCTGACTGAGAGTGAGGATAAAGAATATGGGGAAGGCAGATGCAGCGGAACTGCCAGATCACAGCCTGATCCAATGGTTGAGCTCCAGGCGAGAAGGTGTAGCTAATCCACTGCTTGCACCTGAGTGAATGGAAGAGAAAAAGCTTGGATCCACCCCTCCTCACCCTCATTCAAGGGCTAGCAGCTGAGGGAACAGTCTCTCTCTGGATTGTACTCTTCTTGAGCTGTCCCTGGTTGCTGGAAGGAATGAGCTAATTTTTCTTTCTTTGTTACCTGCTATTGCTCTATTGTTCCTCTGTCCCATTAGAAGGCATAGAAGGCATTGTCATTGCCTTCTTTTGTCATACAGCACATCATACAGTAGCATCCCTGGGAGGCAAATAAGTGTACTCTCAACTGGAAAGACAGAGGAAAGAAATAAGCAGAATTGGAGATCTACATTCCCTGTAAGACAGCACTAGGTAAAATGCTGTCTTCCTAACTGTAATGTGCAAACGTAACACTGCCAGCAATGAGGTGTCCTATAGTTTTTATACAACTAGCTTTAACACTGGACTAGCAGCTTATGTCAGAAATGCTACTGCTTTGTCCTTACTAGGATTTGCCTCAAACTAGAGAAGTAAGGCTGTTCACCCCGTGTCAGGCATTGGCTACTGCCAGCTGAACAAACTAGGTAGCTACTGCAGGATTCTTCCAGTTTGTGGTCTGAAGAGACTTCTCCAGAATTTGGAGAAGGTGTCTGACCCAAGTACTCTGGGCTGAGTTTCTTCCACTCTTGTTCTACAGAGGGCAGGCTGGCAAAACCATGCACCCACAGTACAGCATTCCATTTCAGTATCCCAAATAAAAATAATGCCCATTTCTAGCCTAGATGCTCTTCCACTGAGAAGCACTGTTTGTTGCAAGATTTGCCCGGAGACTTTCAAGGTGAGGCTGGATAAAACCCTGGGCAACATGATGTGGTGCCCCTGTCATTGCAGGGGAGTTGGACTGGATGGCCCTCAGAGTTCCCTTTGAACTCTAAAGATTCTATGATTTTTGGATCATTTGAGTGCTCTAAAGCTCAGCCCCTGCTGTAACTGCAAGGAGAAATACTCCAGTTCTTATATACACAAGGCATTAAGTCACTACATTGTAGGGAAGAGACAGCAATGCAAATCATGCTTCCTGTATCTAGCTTGCTGGGGTTTTTTTTGTTACTGAAGCCAAGTAGCTATAGGTTCAGATCTGAAAATCTCATATAGTCCGATTCAAAACTCAGGTTTGTTTCAGTGAATGTAAAAGGACTAGACAAAGCTGTACAATTCTGCTTGCTCTACTACTGTTCCATGAAATTACGGCACCGTTCTGTGAACTAAGCTTCTGTTATACTCCAGTTCTAGGAATATGAGAGAAAAGCAAGGTGGGATAAGGAGTAATGAACATTTTGCTGAAGGCACCAAGAAGTAGATCTACTGGCTTGGCCAATGCTTGGTTACCTTCAAATATACATCAAGATGTGCTTCTGCCAAGCTCTCAAACCCAGCAGTTATGGCAATCTTTTTATGCAAAGATTGTTTCTCTAATGATAAAGAAATATAAACTTTAATTCATTCTTCATTTGAAGATCTTAGCTGTTACAAAAATGTAAAATAACTACCACCTGCCTCATTTGCTGATGCTTGTGCGCACAGTGGGAACACATGTAGAACTTAGCAGACCACAAAGCCAAGCCAAATAGCTAAATTTCTTGCAAACCCATGAATCCTGTTAAGGTTCAAACTTTTTAGCTGGAAACTCTACAAAAGAAATAGTTCTTCACACTATTTAGTAAAGTCTTATATACCACCACCACAAGGCTGGCTGATGGCCCACTGCTCAGAAATACTTGACTTGCAAGCATAACACCAGCATACTGAGAAAGTCTTGTTGCTGCCCACAGCACTTGTGGGCAAAGGTAGCTTTGCTGCTTGCAGTGCAGCATGCTGCCCCTGAAATGGGGACTGGTTCCTGCAGCACACAGGCAGACCCTGCTTAGCTGGGAGGCTCTTCCTGACCTGAGGGAAAGCTGCAGGGCTTTCTTTCTCAGTAAAGAACATGCCACGTAGAAAAGGCCCTGTTGCTGATCCCAGACTGTTCACAAAAGCCTGTCAGATTTGCCAGTCATTTTGACTGATTTTGGTAAGTGCAGGATGAAAGGATGGCTTTAAAAAAATCAAATGAACACAATTTTCAAATACAATAAATTAAAGGAATTGTGAAGGTTTCTATTTATTTATTTATTTTTTTTTTTAGAAAAAATTAAATGATCGCATTGGCTGGAAACAGCTCCCCCTACTGTTTTCCTGAAATCCTCCCAAACAAAGAATCATTCTTGAGTACCTCCAAAATACTTTCAATTTTTTGATTCAGCTATTAAGGTATAAAAAATCAGTTTCCCTGCTTGGGGTTCTTATAAAACGCTGTATAAGCCTGAGCAGCATGTAAGCTCATTAGTAAAAAGGATATGTTTGCTGTCATTGCAGGTATCTGGCTTACTTCTTCACAAAGCATTAAAATACCAGGTAGATTTTATTTTGGGTATTGGAGAATTGATGCTTTATACGACAGGAAGGCACTGGTAAATTTTTCAGCCTGCCAAGCTGCCTGTGGTAGAGCTACACGAGCTATTCAAAAATACAAATGGAGCTTTAAAACTGGCTTTCAAAGCAATGAATGCTGTAATTTTCAGACATGTGCTGGAGCTGGCATTCATAATGAATGGACTTAAAGCTACACAACTAAAATTTCTGCTCTGCTCCTGGTGGCAAGATGAATAGTGCAATCTTCTGGAGAAAAAAGATGCTTGAATCCCTACTACAGCTGGAAATCTCTGCAAGCTTAGGAAAGAGACAACCTGAGTCTGATTTATCAGTTGCAGTGGTGAATTTTTCAGGCAGCTTGTGGCCACATCATTTAAATGGCAACACAGCTCATTAGAGAGGATAGAAATATACAGAAAAACGGAGTCTGCCCCAGTCTGCTTTGCTGAATGCCAACTGGCAGCAATCCTTCAGCACTTGGTAAAATGATATAGTCGGGCAAATTTAGTTATTCCAGTCTGGACTGATTAGGAAATAATCCAATAGTCCTTACAGTAGGATTTCAAGTTAATGCTTCTTGTAGCTTGTAAGTTTCTAATGGAACGGATTCAGACAAATGAGATACTACTGTGTGAAAATAATCCTAGTGTACATCTCCCCTTCAGAAATACAGTTCTATAAATAATGTCATTAGAGATCCCTCTCACATGTCGCAGAAATGCATTCAAGCTGCAACAGTAACACAGATGATGAGCTGGATTAGTTAGAACAAAGACAGACTCCACCTCAAACTTCCACACTGAGTACAGAGCAGGATTAATTACTTTACATTAACTCCTGAGATGCAAGCTCTCAAAAAAGCAAATTCAAACTTGAGAATCATTGGATCACAAGGTACTGAGGTGGAAGGATTGTGCTTTTCTGGCCAAGATGTCCCTCATATGGACACTGACTAGTTATCTTCAGTGTGTGTTGAAACAGGTTGAAACTTCTTCTGGTAGCCTTTTATTATATTAAAAAAAAAAACAACAAACAATAACAACAAAACCACAAAGAGATGTTCCAGGCTAATGCATCACTATCTTTGGGGTTCCCTCTTTTTGTTAAAGTTTTCACAAAATACAAAATTAAATGTCTTTTCTACATACAGAACAAAGTAGAATCAAGTAACTGATTAGAGTATGTACAAAAACTTACACATCACCTTGTTCTTTAAAAAATATAAATATCAATAACGTTCAGTAGAATGGGTTGGTTTTATTTTTAAGGCTTCATTCTTTTAGATCCTTCATTATTTAATGAGATGCCAGGTAGGCAGGAAAAGCAGGAAAGAGAGGACGTGATTTTCTTTTATTAAAAGTAACATGTTTAATTCTCTTGAGAGTCTTCCTCATCTCTGTTAGGAGGAGACACAATTGAGTTTCGTTCCCCCCAGAGTGATTTAAGTTTCCAGGAAGCAGTGGTGGAAGGAAAGAAAAATAAAACCCTTATTATTGCTATTTGTTTCCTTCACCGAAATCTGGTTTTAAACCTGTCTCTGTTCACAGTCACTGTAGAGAGCCATCTGCACAGTATTTGGATTAAATAGACTCAAGCAGGAAGACTTTGCCCCAGGTCCACATGGGAAAGGTTAAAGTGAGGATGAGACTGCTGGAAGTGTTTTACCATTGACTCCAGCAGAGGTAGCAAGTGCTGCAGCTAGGGCAGCTGCTGCTGTTGCATCCCTGGGCGTGAAGTCTGTGGGGAGGCTTTCCATCAGGCACTTGAGCTGCTCCTGACCCAGTTTGATTTTATCATCTAGCTCTCGTTGCTCTATGAGGAGTGCAGACTTCATCTTTACAAAGTGCTGGTAGTCCTGGAGCTGTTCCTCAGAGAGGTAGTTGCCCAGGATCTCCAAAACCACCCGTTCTCGACGGTCGAGGTTTTCCTTCAATTCCCGGGCATCCTCATGCTGGCCAGCCAGCAGTTTCCTCTTCTCATTCAGAGAGCTCTGTACACACCAGAGAGAGCACTTCAGTATTAGCAGCACTATCACTGATACTCACTGATCCCCCCCTCTTCTGCCCCTGACACCAAATTTGCCACCTCTTGGTGAGGCAACTTGGCTGCTAAGTTCCCAGACGCGCAGCCAGGAGCCTGCGGAAGGAGGATGAATTACTCATTGTGGGCTAAATGTGAATCCCACTAAATGTGAATATGAATGCTCTGATCAATGTGGGGTAGAAAGGACCCCAAGAAAATCAGTAAAACTTACTCAAAAGCAGCGACTGCCAGGAAAATCTGGCTCTGTCTCTTACAACCACCCAAAAAATGCTAAAATGTGTCTTCAACTGAAGTAAAAGGCAGTTGTTACTTCACAATACAGAATACCATGCAGCCTTTCTTCCACATGCTGGTCACAGACATGCTGTGCCAAACACAGACATTGTTTGGAGATAAAAGCCACAGGATCTGAGACACTTGTGCGAATGTGAACCAAGATTCCTAGGGACAGAACCATGTTCGCTCTGGCTCGTGCAGAATCAGTGAGGCACCTGTCTTTGAGCTTATAGAAGCAGGATCTTTTGACTGTTACAGCGGAGAAAGGCCAAGAGGCCACAGTTGTACAGATACGTACCCGCTCTTCACTGTTGGCATTTTCCCCTAGGCTACTGAGAACATTCTCTACCCGGGCCAGGCGTCCTGAGAGAGAAAGCAAGAGGTTCACCACCTTATCCAAGTCGCCGATGAACATCTTGTATTTGTCAAACTCGTTTGGTTTGCATAGCTCGCTGATCAACAGCTCCACCTCCTCTCCGAGAGCATTATTCATTTTGATGTCTGCAAGTAAGCCTTCCTTTGCTTCCTTCAGGATTTCCAGTTTGTGGGTCAAGCTCCCGATGAGCTCAGCCTGTCAGAAGGGAAACACATTGCCACGCTGGTCATTACCATGATCACAGAGTTCATTTGGATGATGAGAGCAAGAGGATATGGTTACAGTTCATGAGGAGCAAGGTCAAGTCAGTAGCAGCTGACAAAGACGACAGCCAGAAGGGAACAGAGAACACTCTGAATTTCCACATTCAGGTGATGATCTGAATCTGATAACCTGGTAAGATTACATGAAGATATATTTGTTCTATCATCATGAACATCTTCAAAAGAGACATCCAATTTGGTGTGCCATATTCTCATATCCAGCTACACGTATCTGAAATTGTATGTACTTTCCTTCAAAATATTCTTTTAAGACTCTGGATAAAAAGAACACTGACCACATATGCTGCATCTTATAGCTCCCTGCCCCAGCCTGAAGTTTCTTGAGATGTTACATGTTGTAAGACCCAGAATTGCACAAAACAACCACTAGATAAATGAATTTAAGCAGTATTATTAATGACATGACAGGAAACTGAACTGGTATGTGCGGTTACATACTTAGTAAGAAAGAAGGACACTTCCCCCTCTTGCAGTACCCTGAAAGTGCTGACTGCTCCTTATTTGGCTGCCTCAGTGTTTAGATGCAAGCCTCAAATTCAGCCCTCACCGAGGAGACATCATCAGCATGATGATATCTCTGCACTGGCTGTGCAGACCCTGCCTTAAACTGAGACGCACCAGAAAAGCACTTGTACGGAAGATGCTCTAAATGTACTTAGTGTCAGATCCATGAAATACAAAGCACATGCATTTTGTAACAGTAAAGGCAACTGTTTCACTGCTGAAGAAAAGGAGGTCTCCAGGGTTCAGCTACTCCAGAAGCAGCTGTGCTGCAGGTGTACTGGAGATAGAAACTTCAGTTAGGATTTAGGAGAAAGACGTATGCAAAAGCAGAAGTCTGTGGCCTGAGGCTTGCAGTTCTTGCCTCTATTCAGTTGGAAGTGACAGTGTAGTGCAGGAAAAGCTCTTGATGTAAGGGATGGGTTATGCTTAGTTTCTTCTATGTATGCTAATCTACTCAGCATACTAACATTGCAGGACAAAATAGAAGCAGATCACAACATTGTTTGAAAGTATTTTCTCAAAGTTTACTAACACAGCCTTCTTTCCATCAAAACTGCTGGTAATTTCAAACAGAAAAGTGTTGGTTTTTTCAGAAGAAAGGGTATCTTTAAATCCAGGTCAGGCTTGGGGTGCTTTTGAAGCAAATGGTAATGTTGAGGCAGACACCACTAGATGGTACACTCTGTGCATCTTCTGGAGCCTGTGCTTTTCTGGCCACATTACAGTCCACTAGCAGCTTCCTCATATATGCCAAAGCTTAATAACATGCGAGCATATTCTCTAGAACAAATGTTGGGTTGCAGGTCTATGCTGGATTGACTGGTAACTCATGCCATTTCTTAATGGAGCGTTCAGTGGGAGAGATCCCACCTGCTAGGATAAGGGATAGCTGCAATTCCTTTGTATGGATTCTCTCCTTACTACGACAGGTAGGATCCAGGGAGAACCAGCACTTGCCCTCCCCTTTGCCTAAGATGCCAGTGTCATTCCCAGAAGAAAGATCTGAGATCCTTATCAATTGACTTCTAGATTAAGAGCTCCTGAGGAGCAGAGGGATGGAGCCAATCTCAACAACTACAGTGGCAGGGAAGAAAACCCTGTCTCAGGATTCTGTACAGTGGACACAAAGTCTGGCATTAACCTCAGCAGGCTTTCAGGAGGCCTGAATTGCTGAGAGCTGGCAGTCACTCCTCCCTGCTGCAGAAGCTCTGCAGAA